ATGGTGAGGGTGAGACAGAGAGTCAGTTTTTAGTTTAGACTTGTTTATTTCCTAACTGAAATATCGATCGAGCTTGTACACTTTTTACATTAAATCGATATTTATTGCTTTCTATTTCAATGTCAAAGGTGTCTCATTCAAGTTACACGAGCGATAATAATCAATTGCTAGTTTTGTTTTGGTTTTTTTTTAAATTTGTTTGAACAACAAAAAGGAAAGTAGTAATTCTCTAATTAATATCGCTTTTTTTATCTTTAGTTTTTGTTTAGTTTAGTTTAGTTTATTTCTCCTCTCTTTACATACACACTTGACATACATACGCGTTCTCGTTTTACAAAATAGAAAAAAAGAAAAAAAAATAATGAACACAAAAAAATAAGAAGAAGAAAAAAAGAATGTAATTGATTTAGTTTTAACTTTGTTATTGTTTTTTTTTCTCTTGTGTTCAACCGAATTACAAATATAGAAAGAAAATAAAGAAGAAGAGATCGTGATAAAATAATACGAGAAAAAAAGGGTAACAAGATAAAAGTTGCTTAATTTTTAAACACTGGCATGATGATTCATCATATGATTTGGAAATCTAACTTGATGATTTTGTGGAGATGTTGTTGAATTTAAAGCATTTCCTAATGATTGTCTTTTTTTCAATCGTTAAAGCATTCATACATGTTTGAAATATCGATGGAATTGTCTAAAAATTAAATTTCAAATATACGTTTTTTTTTTGTCTAATCAATAAAAAATGAAAAACTAACTTGAATATGTCGTAAAATGATCACCATACGTTGATCAACAACTGAATTGACTTCAATCGATGATTTAACAAATGCATTAGCAAATAATTTAATCACATTAGGTACAATGAAATTATTTTGTTCAATAATCACTGAATTATTTGATTCAATTAAATCACATAAATAACCATAAATATATGATGTTTCTTCCGTATCTTCATGAATTGGAAACCAAGAAAACAAAATTTGATGAAGCTACAGAAACAAAATAATATTTATATTTTTATAAAAAGTATTTTACTTTATCGAGATTATCCAAACATAAATTATTATATTTAAATATTTTTCAAACTGCATTAACTGTATTTTCCGTTGCTATATTATTTTCTGGTGCGTGACGACTATCTGGTGAACTAATCAATGCAAATAAATGAGGTAATGCTTCAGTACATGTATGTGCATAAATAGAACCACCATTCATTCCTATTACACCAAATCCATATGCAGCAGCTTGATGAATCTTGAAAGAAACAGAAAAACAAATAATCAGATAATAAAAAATATTTAAATATAATAATTTATGTTTGGATAATCTCGATAAAGTAA